GTTTTGAAAATATTCTATTGTACATATGGGACTTATTGTTTTTATATGCATCAAACATCAAATATGTATATATATATATATATATAACTAATAAAATTCAAATGAAAAGCACTGGGTCCAATTAATCTCATCGCGTGCGATTTGTCAAAGATTAAATCAATATCAACGCGTTTTAATATCAACTTTATATCAGCTCTCCATAAGCCACTAACACAAAACAAATAGAATACAGAAAAGAAGAGGCTATGGTTTATAGGGTCAAGTCAGGACAAGGAGAGAGGACCAAGGACTAATTGTCCATTCTCAACTTCAATTAATAGCCGAAAAATGACAAATTCATGGCATGATGGGAGGAGAGAATAAGGTTATCTCCTTTTTGAAAACTTGACAAGCTAGGTTCATACTTCCTACACACACATATATATATATCATATTTGAGTGTGTATTGTATTTGAAAGCTTTTAAAAGATATATATGGTTTAAATTAAAAAAAAAAATACATAAAAATATATAGAGGGTCACGTTCATGTATACTAAGCAAAGCTTTTCCATAGGGTTCCACACATGGTCGGTCTTTTTCTGTGTCATATTGTTCTTTTGATGGCTGCTTAAATGTGGGACAACATATCACCGACTTCCCTTATGGTGTTTCCATTCACATCACTTCCCCTTTTACACCCAATTTTATTTTCATTTTTATTTTTATTTTTATTTTCTTGAGCTTCAGCTTCAGATTCCCTCTCCTAAAAGCATCTGTTTATGAATGTCATCCTTTATATATCATTACTCTTGCTCTTTTTTTGTTATTCTCTTTTCTCCTCTTTGAATGTGTAATATATCATTGTTGCACAGAAGATTAAGAAGAATAGAACCATTTCTTACTCATTAATTTTTTTATTTTTTTATTTAATTTTTTCTTGGGGTCCAATTTACATGAGTGGAGACCTGGGTTTTGGTAATCAATTAATAGGGTGTCTTTAGGCGGGAGATTTGGGTGTCAAGACAGGGAACAATGAGGTGGCCATTTTTGTAGTTTTATGCCATCCTTAGGGCTCCACCATTTCAAGATTTAAAAAGCTAGATAAGGTTGTGGCTTGCTCTCACTCATGCACCTTCTTTTTGAACTCTCCACGTGGCAGGCAAACGTCTTGTCCACGTAAGAAGAAGTGGTGGATGTGGTAGGTAAAACCGTTTGTTTATGAACCAACATGGGGAAGTTAAATTAATATCATAGTTCAGTGCCACAAAATTATGGTTAAACACTATTTTGTTATTTAAAGGTAGTTTTGGGACCCCTTGTAAAGTACAATATTGAAGGGTTTAACAGGTTAGCTTTTTACTACCAAATGTATGTGCTGCACTATCATCTACCAACCATGACTACAGATACAAATACATTACTAGCTAAATACTAATAAATAATTTAATTTTAAATTGAGATATACCAAATAATCATCCATGGGCTAGTTTGAGGCCCACGAAGTCACGTACTGTTTCATATTTGATTATTGAAAGTATAAATTTATCCTAAATTACAGCATTGTTAGGTTATGGTCACTTCACTGTGGGCTCATGTGAGGAAACCTCTCTTTCCGTCATGCTCTTTTATTATTTTCAATTTAAAGCAACTAGCTAGGGTTTCTTCCATTTCGGTGTATCAATCACTTAAGCTTAGACTATGTTATTTATTGCTGTGAAATTTTAATTAATAGATGTAATTTGTAAAGAACCAATTCAATTCAAAAAACTTAAGTTATTAGGTAAAAGTTTATTAATAATTTTATATATTTTTTTTTAATACACACTCTCACATGAGAGCCTATTAGGTTTGAAGGGTAGATCTACCTACCCGTGCTAAGAAATTTCATAATATTTAATTATTAATTTTAATAAAATAAGAGCGGTGGGAATCAAATTTGTGACTACCTTGTCATACTGACCACTTAGGCCTTCACTTATCAGCTTGAGTTGTTGAATTGAAATATTTATTTATCACAGTATCAAAGCCTTTGTGACCATAATGTCACGAATTCGATCATTATCGTTCCCACTTTCTAATGAAATTAAGTTAACACAAAGTAGAACAAAAAAGAAATGGGATTGTATAACATAAAAACTATTAATTGGACCTCACTTAAGGGTATCCCCCGGCCGAAAGCCAAGGATTAATCCCCTCGAGGTGGAGAGATCACGCGATTGTGGGTCCAGTCTCTTCCAATAAATTTTTTTTTACACACACGGCTAGAAATCGAACCCTTGTCAGCATACTTAAAGGATCCAGCTATTTACCAACTATACCGGGTTTTGTTGGTGTTGAAAGGATTCTTTAGATAATTTTTTTTATGAACATTGTGTTAAACAGAAAGTTAGACTTGTGTATTAAAGAAAAAAAAGAAAAGAAAAAAGTTAGACGTCTATTACGGAACGGTCGAATTTGACTTTATTGAACCTTTGTGAGGCAAGGCCTAGAATTGGCAAAAATAGAGGAAATTAATTTATGCATCAACAAGAGAAACGGTATGTAGACTTTATACACCTTAAACAGTTGAAAGCAAATTCATTGAAAAATATGGCAAGAAAGAGAACTTAGAAGATTTTAGTTTTCAACATATCAGATAATGATAACATTTTGATCATGCAGAAGCTTTTATCCAATCTTTTTTTATATTTTCAGTGTAATAAAATTTTTTTTTTACTTTCTAGGGCCCTAAGGACACTTATTCATAATATGAAATCAGACTAGAATTTTTTTCTTTTGAATTTAATTTACATGCATTATTAGTATAAATTTTGCATATTATTATCCAATAATATGTTACTACGTCAATTAATATTTATTAGAAATATTATATAAAAAATTTAAGAAAAAAGTATTTGTCATTTTAAATGACATAATGTTATGTCATTTTAAGAGAGAGATAGACACAAAATAATATTTTTTTATTTAAAATTTACATTAAAAAAATTACACACTTTCTCTCCCATGACTTTTTTTTTTGGTATTCATTCTCTCCTATGATTTTCATTTCTTGTGTCTATCTATCTCTTAAAATGACATAACTTATGTCATTTAAAATGAAAAACATCAAACCCAAAATTTAAATATATTAAATATCTTAAGAACATAACAAAATTTAATAACTTTTTTTTTATATTTAAGTAGAGGATTATTAGCAGCATTAGTTGAGAGAATTTGAATTTATTTGTAAAGTAATGTATATAAAAATTATTTGTGAATATTAAAATATAACAAAAATAATATATATACCTAATTAGAACCATTTATTAATGATAAATAATTATTTATCAATTATAAATTATTATTAATCGTTTTAATTTATTTTCTTAATAATTATGTAAAAAATAAAAATGCTTGAAATAATAAAATATTGAGAAAAAATGCAAAAAAGTGAGTGATATCAAAAAATTAAAATTAAAAATTAAACATTTTAAAAAAATTATTATTATCTTTTATATTTGCGAAGTCTTATTAGAATAATGATTAATACTTTAAAAATTACAATTAGTGTTTACTATTAGAATGATTAACTATTTGATGATTAATAATACACAATTTTTGGTTGTGATTTTTTTTTCTTACAAAAATAATGGTAACATAAATTACTCTAATATTAGAAGTCAAGATACTAGTAACATGTTTGAGATCAGGAAAGGTCAAGCGATGATTTGAACCTATGCACTTGGATAGTGCATGTCTTTTTAGGATATTTTAAACCACTCGATTCAATATAATTTGACTTTTTTGTGATATTTTGTGGGTGCATAATTGTAACATTGACATTACCCTTTTTCAATATGTAAATAATTGATAAATAAGAGAAAAAAAAAATTTGAAATGCAAAGATAACAAGAGAAACATTCGAGAGGTGCCCATAAAAAGAAATCATGAAATTTTCAAGACCTGGATCGACAATATAATTGCTAGTCATTGTAATTGAATAAAAAGGAAATACGATAGTAATATATTCCTCAATATTTAAATTTTTTTTTTTTAAAAACACAGCATTTAAATTTTCACGCACTAATAGGTGAGAAAGGTGGATGTGAGCGCTTGGGGAATAAAAGAAACTCACATGTGTGAGGAAAAGGAAAAAAAAAAATTCACTCCTTTGTGACAAAATTCAACAGCTCATATTATTCAATGGACAATTTCACACACACACATTTGCCTCACAATTTGAGTTCGGTCAGTAATCAGCACATTCTAACCCCATTTTTCCTTGCAACTAATTAACTATAGAGGAAAAAGGGCAGAAAAAAATCGAAATGTTACATTTAGCATGACCAAAGATGAAAAGATAAAAAAAAAAATTAAAAGATAAACGAAGGTCATGAAGTCACGAACCATTTAATTTCAATGCAAAAGTTGGGTTGCAACGCTTAGCTGGTTAGATCACGTACCTTCGCATGTCTCCTTAAAAATCACAAAAAATTCAAAAAATCACCTCTCTAGTTCTCTTATCTACACTGTATATTCATGAAAGCGTTTGTACGTGTATATATATACACACACATATACAGAGACAAACCCACACAATACCTGCATCAGTGTATGATGTTGGATCACAAGTGTTCTCTTCTTTATCTATTGGAATATCATATCATCATATATAATGGTATGGTGCCCTTTCTTTAGTGCTGCAAACTGCACAGTGGACACTAGTCTACCCTGCCATGATACACACACTGCACGTAGCTCATGGAATTCAGCGTTTATATTCAAACTTCCCTTGATACCCGCGCACTAACCCAAGCATCAATTTATTTTTAAATTATTTTTTTCTCATCCCTGTCTCTTTGTTGCAACATTTTTCTAAGTGTGTGACCGTTTTGAAAAAAGCAGAGAGAGAGAGAGAGAGAAGTGAAAAACCAACAAAATAACAATTAACAAATGAGACACCACTCCTAGTACAACTGTACACTACTTCTAACTAAAGGTTTTTTTTTTCATTCAATCTCCACAGTTCTATGATGCCCTTCTTCTCAGTTTTTCATTCTATCCCATGTAGAAGAATCTCAAACACTATTCATAGTTGAGGTATTTGTCAATTTGACAACTTTGAACACCACTTTTTTCTCAATTGGGTATTCCCAAAGTTCCTCAATTTTTTAGATCTACCCACCTTTTCTGGGCAATCAATTGCATACCAGTGGTATAGCATCAAATACATAGGTTCTCTCGGGTTTTGAAAAATACGATTTTGATACAATCCCATGTACCCTTTATTAACCCATCTATGTATTCTTCATTGCCCATTTTCTATCTTTCTCCTTTCATTTGGTTTTGGCTCCCTAATTTGAGCATTGGGTTGTTCTGTTTAGTTCTTTTCTAACTTGGTTATAGAGGCTAAGATAGTGAGATCAAAGGTGGGAAGTGGAGGTCTGAAAAGTTAGGATCCGAGGCCATTTCTTTGGAGGGTAATAGGCATTTTTTTTTAACTTGGATAGCTTTTGGTAAGGTGGCTTTTGAGAATGGAATTTATGCTTGTTTCGGTTCCCGTTTTGAAACCCAACACAGTGAGCGTATAAAGGTGAATGAAAGAGAAGGAAGAAGGGTTTTCCCTTTTTGTTTTTTGTTTTTTTTTTTTTCCCCTATAAAATCACAAAAAGTTTTCATATTATAAAGGGAGAGCGTTGGCTTTAGCATGCAACTTGACTCCGGTAAAAAGAGGGAGCGTCCAAGAAAGAGAGCAACGCCAATAGAATAAACACTCACAAAGACAAGATCATGCAAGGTATGAAGAAGCAGCAGAAGCAGAAGCAGTTGGCCAATGAAGAATCTAAGAAGAAGGAGCGTCACATTGTGACGTGGACTCAAGAGGTCCTTCTTCCCTTACTATAAAATTCCTTTATTTATTTATTTTTTGTTTATATATTCTCTTTACTTATTATTATTCTATTGAATTTCTCCTTCTTTGGAGTAGTGTCTCATGTGTGTTACTTGCAGGAGGATGATATACTCAGAGAGCAAATTGGCATCCATGGAACTGAAAAGTACTTACCCTTCGTTATTCTTCTTTTGAGTTACTCACTAGTCACTAGTGCTTTTTCATTTGTAATGGATATGTGATACTAAGGGATTTTAATTGCAATGACTACATGTAGTTGGGCAATTATTGCTTCTAAATTCAAGGACAAAACGACAAGACAGTGCAGAAGAAGGTGAAGTTTTTTAATTGATAAGCGTGTTTCTTGAATTATAATGATGATTCATTCAAGATATTTTATTTGGTCATCTGTTTTATCCTTTAGCTCATGAGGACTTTCATGGCTCCTGCTTTATTTTATTGCTATTCTCAATCTGATGCTTAAGTAATTAATAAATTACCAGATGGTACACTTATTTGAATTCTGATTTCAAGAAAGGAGGATGGTCACCAGAGGAAGACATGCTCTTATGTGAGGTAAATTGCTGCTCCCTGTGTACCAGAGCTACACTTTCATACCACTGCAGTTGCCATGGGAGTTTAACAAGCTTATTTAATAGTAGTGATCTTTAGAACTTCGAATATTTAGACTTCATTTTTTCCTTTTCGTTTTTCTTTCTGTTTTTCCCTCTGTAGTAGACCTCAATCCATTGACGTACATGAGGATCTTAAGTGCTAGTACCATGGCAAAGTGATTTATTTTGTATCAAAATCTACCCTGCAAAAGAATAGTTTACAGCCAAACTAACCAAGATCTTCTATTTGTATAGTTCTCTGCAGATGATACCAATAGCGATTCACTTAAAATTGTATCTTTTCTCACTAAATGTGATTTAATTGATTGCTATTATCTGTGTAGGCTCAAAAAATATTTGGTAACAGGTGGACAGAAATAGCAAAGGTGGTTTCAGGCAGGTAACTAAAAATTCATTCTTTTTTTCATGAAATTTTAAATAGTCATTTTTCTTCGACAGTTATTCATATTGCAATGCTTTATTGCTTTGTGCAGAACGGATAATGCTGTGAAAAACCGTTTCTCCACATTGTGCAAAAAGAGAGCAAAATATGAAGCCTTAGCAAAAGAGAACAACACTTCATACATCAATTCAAATAACAAAAGGATTATTTTTGAACACGATTATAATACAGATGCGGCTTCGGCACCTGCAGTAGCTATCAAGAAGATGAGGTACGGTAAACTAAGAGATTAAAATGCATAAATTCGATTTAGAAGAGTGTTAACTTGTCATCCTATTGCAATATAGGCGATCACATATCCCTGATGGTTCAGAAAAAATCAACTTTGGAGACAGATCCCATAAACAAAATGGAACTCCAATAAATCAGCAGCCGAGAGCACCTTTTGCAGTTTTAGCTAACTCTCATAATGTCAACAACTTGACAGACCAGCATCATGTATGCAATGTGAAGTTTAGTGGTTATGGTAATGCATTTAAGTTGAAAATTTGTAATTATGGAACTTCTCTTGCAGTTTTGAAACCCAAAATAAGAAAACAGGATAACATTAAGAGGGTGTTTGGTTTGTTTTCTGTTTTCTATGTTTTCACTAATAATTACAAAAAATGCCACATTGTTTCATTTTGTTTCCTGTTTTTCAAGAATTAGTGAAGGAAACTGTGAAACTTAAAACAACACAAAGAAAACAGAAAACAGAAGGAAAATAAGGTGAGATTTTTGTAATTATTAGTGAAAACATATCAAGTAAAAATCAAAATAGTAAACAAACCAAACACCCTCTAATATATAAAGCCAGTAATAACTTTGGTCATCCTATTATTCTAATGTGACTCATGGCTTTTCATGCTTTTGCAGCCCAAAACAACAATGTTCAAGGAACATTCCTCAAAAAGGATGACCCTAAGATAAGCGCATTGATGCAACAAGCTGAGTTACTAAGTTCACTAGCTCTAAAAGTTGACGCAGAGAACATGGAGCAAAGTCTTGAAGATGCATGGAAGGTGAGGCTTGATAGTTTCTGAACTTACTCTTGTTTTGATTTTTGAACACCTCGTGGGCTTCTTTAAAAATGAACTCCAGTTGATGTCATCAAAAGCAAAGACCAAAGTGTAGATTATATGTCATGAAGGTCAGCATCAACAGAATTAAATCAATTTTTAATATGTCAAGCCTATCTATATGAAAATCACGAAAGTCATTTAAACATATTTGATACTGGCTTTGAAAAATCTAAATAGCTTAATTGGTCAGGTAGATAGTATATATTTATTTAAATGGAGTTGATTCTGCTAATGCTTGAATGTATTTCTGTACAAGCTGATTTTACAGTGCTTAGTTCTTTAGTACCCTGGTAACATTATAAGTTAATCACAAAGTATTAGGCATCATGTGACCCTATAATTGCTATACTAATGCAACATTTCTAACTATGGGTTTGAAGCATTCATACATGTCAAAGACCAACTTAAAAGCTTATGCTTTTAAGTAAAGGCCCAGGATGGTAACATGCCCCTTTATGTAAGAGTCACTTGAAGATGATGCACAAGCAGGCTTTAGCTTATGCTAAAATTCAATTTTGTGAATAATAGGGTGGCAAGAATTGAACTCTAGACCACTTAGTCATAGAAATATAAAATAATTATGAATCATAAATGTTAGTAATCTTGCTTTGAAAAATTTCTGAAATAATTTCCTAGATCAGCTTGCTAGCGTGTAATCAAATATAAAAAGCTTAACTTGGTTCTGCTAAAGCCATCACAAGCTGATATCTGCAGGGCTTAGTTCTTGAGCATTTAAATAAGAGAAAGGTCATTGTTCACAGACTTCTTCAAATATCTTATAACACTTGTGTGCATTGATGCCAGGTTCTTCAAGAGTTTATGAACCGAACCAGAGAATCAGATATTCCCAGATATAAGATTCCAGATCTACTGCTTGTAGATCTTAAAGATTTGTTGGAAGACTTAAAAAGTACTAGTGTGGGAATCCAGCCATGTTGGAGGTACTTTAACTTCATTGGAAATATGACTTTATGAGGGCTATGGAATATCTAATAGTTTCTGAATCTATTATAGGCAAATGGAACTATATGAAGACTCTCCAGGCAGTTCTGAATACAGTACAGAATCAACTCTCCCTCATCCAGCTAGTGAGAATTTGGAAAACTCACTGCATCAGGATATTGGAACTGAACTGAGGTCTATCCAAATTGGAGATCAAAAAGGAGTTAGAGGATGTGACCAAGGGATTCTTTCTAGTGCAACTGTGGATCAAGGCAAGATCATCAAATCCCCTTATAAAATATATAAGAGAAGATCATTTTGGTAAAAATATTTCCAGTTTAGGGACAATTAACCACTCTGCTGGTTAATTATGTTCAAAGAGTGGTTAGTGTGTAGCCACTTATTGACCTAATTAAATGGTCAATTATTCCTAAACTGAAACTATTTTGACCAAGAAGTTCTTTTTTATAATTTTGTCAGAATAAAATAGTTTTTGTATTCTAATATGCTAACATTTTAATGAATCAGAATTGGTAGCAGATATGTTCCCATCTTGTGCGGAACAAATAAACAATGATGGCATTGTTTCTGCCTTATCAAGTACAGAGTTCAGTTCCCCTCTTCAAGTTACCCCTCTGTTCAGATCCTTAGCTGCAGGAATTCCTAGCCCACAATTTTCAGAAAGTGTAAGTTACCCTAGCACTTTAAATCAAATAATTAAGGACAAGCAAGATTATAGCAGTAATAGTGACAAGTGGTCTGATTATATTAGTAATATATGACAAACTGGGCATATAACTAAACCCATGTATCATAAAAATCAAACCAGCAAGAGTACTTTTAGTAGGGCTTTACTTATAAGATCAACCTCGCATTAAGACCTTCAGAATGCCGTTTATTGCTAGATAACTTCAGTAGTGGTGGTGGGGATCTTTCATCAGTGTTAGTGGTGGAGATAGTAATAGCAGGATAAATCATTAATGCTTAAGTTATGTACAGTGCTTAAGATTTTATGTTAAAAATTTTGTAGTTAACATCATTACGGTGTTGGATTAGTGGAATCAAATTGTTGCAGATAAAAATTGGGTAAAAAGGAAAAGTTTATTAATAATTATTTCATCATAAAATCCAGCTGGGCCAGGCAAACCAGGAAGTGGTGGAAAGGGGAAAGGTAATTATGTAATTGGATATAGGTTTTAAGATAGGAAATAACTTGCTCAGCAATAATAAGGATATATAAGAAAGCTTTTGCGTAGCCAGGATAAGTTTGGCTTCTTTTCTGGTCATGATTAGTATTAATATTTTTTTTCCTGAAAATAATCAAAGTATCTAAGTTTTATAGAGGTTAATATGCCGGTTACAAATGTCACTCGTGCAATACATTATGTAGATTTGTTAAAGTTTCTCTTTTAGAATTTGTAGCTTACAGTCTTGTTTGATGAGGATATACTATGTTTCGGAACACAAATGGCTTCAAAACGATAGCTTTTACTTTTAAATGCTAGTGTCACATTGACTTCTTTAATAAGCACATACTTTCACATAAAATATTATGCAGTATATATATATATATATATATATATATATATATATATATATATATATATATATATATATATATATATATATATATATATATATATATATATATATATGGGATAGGATTCGTTTACAAACTTTTTTTGCAAATTACATTAAGTACGACCGGTCGTACACTGCACGATTAAAGTATGACCGGTCGTACTTAGTGTAGTTTGTAAGAGTTTGAAAACAAAAAAGTTTGTAAATATAAATTGCCCCTGTATATATAGCTCGGTCTCTAGTCCTGATTCTAGTCATAAACTACAAGAAGGTGGAAGTTATATTTGTTTCCATGAAAGTTATTTCAGTCACAATTTGTTCATCACTTTTATTCCTAAAAACAAAAATGTTCCATCACCTCATCATTTAAATACACTGTTTATTTATTTATTTATATTTATTTTTCTTGCTAAGAAAATATGCAGATATAATATTGACAAAACTGACATTTACAGTATCATATATAAGTGAAACAGAATTATAATTATCTTCATGTTGAAAACTATTGAAGCAAGAAACCTCTCAGCAAACAAGAAATCATTTTTGTGACGAGATATAGTGTAAGCTATTAGTTCATCTCCATATATCATCTCGTATATATGTAGAATACAACAAACATCTACCATGCATGTTGCATCAACCATACTTTAGCTAAGTTGCTGCTTTGTATGTTCTCGTTACACTATGTGGAGTTATGGACTGTATCAAAAGTTTGACACAAGTATGACAATATTTTCTTCTTTCTTTGACATTTTTTTTTTTTTTTGCAGGAAAGGAACTTCCTTATGAAAACACTTGGAATGGAGTCTCCATCTCTCAATCCAAGTGCCAACCCCTCACAACCGCCGCTCTGCAAAAGAGCCCTCCTACATAGTTTATAATTTGAATCACTAATTCATCTGGAATACAAAATATTTGTGTGTCCTTTCCCCTTTCTGAATCCTTTCTCCCCACCTATGGCAACTAGCCTGTTAGTTGTTCTCTGCCTGGTTTGAGAAAAAGATTGCAGTTTTGATCAGCCTAAATTTTTGAAAGCCATACCCTCCCCTAGAATGTTATGGTACATTCTGAGGATCTTCAACATATCTAACATTGTCCTCTTCCTCTCCTCCACCACTCAATGTTACCTTTCTTGATACTTAAACAAAAAAATTAGCGTGCTTAGTGTGTCATTCTTTGGTTTGTCTTCTTTGATATCATTCTGGGTTTGTTTTTCTCCAATCCAGCTTTTGGTCTTGGTTTGCTTTTTTTTGTACATAGCCTGTTGTGTGATGCTAGTCATCCTGAGTGTGTATGTATACATCGGCAATTCGCCTACCCTACTACATATAATGAATAGAGAGAGAGACATAGATAGAAGAGAGAAAAGAAGAAAAAAAGTGGGAGTAAAAAGATAAACCAGTGGCAAACTGGACTCCTATTTGTTGTTTTGGGTGTGCATAGATTATAGAATAAATATTCTTTTTTCCATTTTGGTTCTGATGTACTGAAACATAATTATAATTGGAGTGGGAATGCATTTTGGTTTTGGTGTGCAGATACTGTTTCTGTTCTGTTTAACCTGGATTTAGCACCTAACCATATGTAGACAATAATTCAAACAAAGGAAAATAAACTGGCATGAACTTACAGACTCTCTCAAAGAACATGAAAGTAAAGAAATTACCCAACCCCGTTGTAACATCAGCCAGAACTATAGGTTGCAACAAACAAATGCAAACCAATTTATTGCATGTTTGGCATTCATTCATTATTGTGAAAATATCAGCTCCATTTCCTTATCCAAAAAGCAAATCTTAACAAGAAATATATGTAGAATGCAAAAGTTGTGTACTTACAGACTGTACAGTAAACCTTGTACTGTGGTCTGACACAGGCTTGCAAACGTTTCTCTCACTCTTCCCCTCAGCTCGTAGACACATTGTTGTTTTAACATGGAGTGTGTGAACTTTGATTTGCAGAAGAACAATTCTGGGGGAACTGGAATTCTTATTTAGTTTAACTTAAGATGATTAGTTCATGGTTGGTGGTGAATGGTGGAAGACAGGAGACAAATAATTATGACTATGAAAAAAGCAATTGGTAAAAAGAGGGAGGGAGGGAACTCTCTACAAAATAAAGCACATTCGTTTGCTGTTAACTTTCTGTGGGAACATAGACTTTGACTCATTTGACCTTCCAATTTCCACTCGCTCAAGTTGATCTTCCCTAAACACAAGCTGGTCAAAACCTCAATTGACTTTTTTTTTTATTTTTAAAAAAGTATAATCGATTTTAAATTGAATAATGCTATTAAATATATATTGTGCTTTTATACAGTGGAATAATTATGGTAGCCACAATTATACAGTTGTTTTACTTTTATAGTGAGATTCATTTTGGTATTTCTTTTTGTTATACTTTTTAAAATTATATATTTTATATCATGAGTAATAGAAGTTATAAACTTATAAAAATTATAAATTAAATGACAAAAACTACAAATTCATATAATTTACATGATAGCCACTTTTTTTCTATAAAAAATTAATATTTCTCATGTTATAGAAGATAATTTTATCATATACATATACAAAAATGTGTGAGATTCATATTTTTTTCTCAATCTTTTATATAATTTTTTTTTCTCAATCTTTTTTTTATATAAAATCCTTACACTTTTATATATTTATAGGAGATAAAATTAAATGCTAATTAAAAAATAAATAAACGAAGTGGACCATCTCTATTTCAAAATTAGTACAGAAAGCACTATTCATTTTAAAGAATGGACATGTCCCCCCCAGCTGTGATAAAGCCGGTTTGCCCATAGATATCCAGCCACTCAGTTTTAACCTTTTTTCTTTTTCTTTTTATTTTTTTACTACATTAATCATTCTTTTTTTGGTAATACCATTCAAACCACAAATACCAACGATGCACACCAATCCCAAAGTATATTTGATGGTTCAGTCAATTTTAATAGAGGAGGGATATTCTTACTATCAAAAATTTTCACTACTAACTTATTACCTATCTAATTACCATTAGATTAATATTTTCTCTCTCTTTAAATTTTTTTTCACATTCTTTCTCTTTGATCCAATGGTGATGTGATGGGTAGTAAGTTAGTAGTGAGAATTTTGGTAGTTAGAATATCTTCACTCATTTTAATAAACAAATATTTTATATTAATTTTTTTCTATTAAAATATACTTATTAACTTAGTTCCCCCTTATCTTAAGTTACAACATTTTTAGCCAAAAGTTTGGTTATAAGTTTTACTGTTGGCCAATCCTATGCTAGACCACGTCAGAAATATAAATAAGGAGGCGGAAAAGGGATTTGGGCAGTAACATGAGTTGGTGCCATATTATGCTTATAGCCATATTAAACGATCCGTCATCATCTTTGGTTACTAAAGAATTTGACCACCCCACCCTATGGGTGAGGCGACATCAGGCCTTTATCCTAGAACTGCAGCGATTGTTATGAAATATAGCGGACACCAGGCAAACTATTGTTTGCATATTTCGTCAATCAAGCATCAAACTCTCCAAAGTTGTTGACGAGCATGAGTTACTTCTCTTGAATGGAGGAAAAATTGCATATGACGGTTCGCTTGCCCAATACTGGAAGCTTATAGTGTACTTTGAATCAATTCCAAGTGTTGTTGAGATCAAAGACACATATAATCCAACCTTGTTGATGTTGTAGGTCCACACATTAGAATTTGAATATTGCCATGGTTTATTGAATTTTTCCGCAGTATTATTGATTACTCAATTAATACAATTTGAATGAATAGGATCATAAGAGCATTAAAGCTTTACTTTCCAAATTTTTAATACATATATGCATCCTGAACTAAAACTTGAAATCACTAGTCAAGCTGGAACAATCATGTGCTATCTAATCTATTGTTGATTTATATATATCTCGAGTATTTTTAGAAATTGAATATTGGAATAATCAGTAAATTGCGGAAGAGTAGAGCACACTAGTAGGGGTGTTCGCAGTTTGGATTAGATTGATTTTGAAAGCAAAAATCATCTGATCCAATCCCTTTGGTTTAATCATGTAATCATCCATTCAGTTTGGATTTTTTTTCAAATCCGATCTGATCCAATCCAATTTTTTTCGGTTTGGAATGGATCGGTTTTCGGTTTTTTGAAAATTCTAAAATTTGTTTCATGATTATTGTGCAAATAATATCTTTTGTATATATTGACTCTACACAAATGATATATGAAGCTCTACACAAATGAAATTTTGTTAATGAGATGTGACTAGATTTTCTCTTGGGTTTAGTTGATGGGTTAATGAATCTTGGGTTTAGAAATTTTTGGGCTATAATTGGGGAAAGACTCAAGTAGGTAGAGGGAAATTAATATATTGGATCGGTTTGGATTGGATCGGTTTTCATCAATCAATTCGAAAACCGATCCAATCCAATTAAAATTTGATGTTTTTTTCGGTTTTTGATTTTTTGATTTTCGGTTCAGTTATCGCAGTTTGCATCGGTTTGGATCGATTAATGAACACCCCTACACACCAATAACAAGACCAAAGGATCTATACTTCCTAATAGTATGTCAAATTATAGATTATAAGAAGTTAGAACTCTTGAAGAAGAATCTATAGATTACTGGTTGGCCATGGGAGTCATGCATAAGTTGTTCATTATGCTTCAAGCAATGGGACCTAGAGGAAGGTTTGGTTTTTCAAACCTTCACCTTGAGCACAAGTGAACCTTCTAGATGGGTGGGGGCAGGGGGAGGACCAAGTGAGAAATATGAGTAACGGGGCTTATGAGAAATTTGAATTGTAGCCATCATGCCTTCGTGGCAAGGAGTGTAGCTAAAAAGGGAAAACAGCAAGAAGCAAAGAGAAAGTGGAGGAAAGGTATGTGAGAGGATCATCCAACCGTTAAGTTTTGAAACCGTTGGATAAGGTTTATAAACCCTCTAGCATATACAAATATCTTTTGTTTTCTTCTTTTATTGGTGATTCTAATTTCTGTAATTACTGTTTTTCTCTATTTTTCTGTAGTAAAATACCTAATCCCTATCATTTACTTTAAGCAAAATATACTAATCCAGACATAAATTTGAACAAATAAATTCTGAAAGCAAAATAAGCTAGAGCAAACAATTTACTAAACTTATTTTTAATGCTCACACCCTATTCAGTAGGGCTACTTTTGGCGCTCAAACAATATTGGGATCATCTTCTTTACATACGAGAGAAGATAAGATAATCTGAAAATTATGTTTACAGAGTATGTCTTTGCCCTAGTATGCTATAATAACTAAAACTAGCTCTTCATTACAATAAAGAGGCAACTAATTATTAGCACAAGCCACAATGAATAAGAAAAAGAACTTCTCAAAAAGGATCTATCCAATTACAATTACAAATATTATATTGTATAAACCTAAATCTGGTTCATTGAACCTTCAAGGTTTTGGTGATATAACGAGGGTTGAACGCCAAATTAGCTACAATAGCATAAACATTTGACTTAAAATTGCTGAAGGGCTTCACATTGCTTTTCTCTTCTTTTGTATTCTTTGCAACTTCTGCCACTTGAGGTAGATCTGGTACGACAATCCAGAGAATACCATAAAAACACACCCCCACTGCTTTGTTGAGAGGGGATTTCCACTCAATAGTGAAGATACCACAATGCTAACAAATTTGCGCGTGGTAGTGATGGTAGTATTAGCTAAAGAGCCAAACCGGCTTATAGTCAAGAAGATGAAATTCTGGCCGACAGCACCACAGCAGCAATAGAGAAAAATATCCCATGCTGCCTCTGGATGCTGTTTGCAAAAGTGAACTGCCTCAAATCCACTACCATGGGGCCATCCAAACATGTAAATCATATTGTATATGGTTCCCCATAAATTCATTCCCAACATAATATCCCAAGCACTTGTTTTTGGGTACCTGAGTAAGACAAACTAATAGTTTTAAAAGATAAAATTAAGATAAATGAATCTGTATTTTAGATGTTCAAAGAGTCATTTTCCACTAAGAAAGCCTGACAATGTTGAGATTTGAGAAGTCAACATTCAAACACCCATGAAATAGAAGCCCAAACATCTGACATGCAAAAGCAATAACAGGCAATAAAGTTTTTCCTACAAGCAACATCACATGGGAGAGGAAAACATGATCAATCATACTTAGTTTTGTTTACAACTGTTAAATTATCCTCTAGAGACACTACTAAGGACAGATATTTTTGGCCAGTAAGCTAATTAAGAAACCCTCATATTGCAAGCCAACCCATTTTGGTTAACTGATTCAGCTACTACCAATATTGAACTTATCCTAACAAATGAATTCGCTCTTAATTTCTATTTCCCATAGAATACAATTTCCACAAAAAGATTGTTTCTTATCTGTTATACTACACATTGGAGAAGTGATTTGATTCCACAAAAAAAGAGGGGGGGGGGGGGGGGGGGGGGGGGGGGGAATAAAGAAGAATAAGGGTACATAGGGAGGTGTAGAAGGGGGTGAAATAAGTAAAGAAGAAATCAAGGAAGCGCATGAATGTAAATTTTGTAGTTCACATGCACTCAGACGGACTGGAATTGTTACATGCCAAATCAAAAGAGAGAGAAGCTTATCTTCTATTACCTTGCTTTTAAGGAATCCTGAGTTGCATTAGTAAATCCATCAAAAGCAAGGTTCAGGAAGCATAGCCCATATCCAAGGGGAGCATTTGGATGTGCCAGCTTGCCTATAGTCTTTGAGCTAGTCTGTTATTAGCATAAACAAATTAAGGTGAGCTGCATTCAGGGACTGAAAATTCCTAGACAAGACTAGTGAGGTCTGTTATTCTGATAAGTTCCAAACCTTTAGAAGTGCAAATGTTGATACCCCTCCAGCAACAAGAAATGTGCAAAGGTATTCTGGCAAAGTGTATCTTATACCATATACTAGAGTACCCATCAGCATAACTGCATTACCGTAAAGTCAATTGTTTGTTACACAATTTAAGAGTACTTTACATAATCGGAGGATAAATTTAAATTTTAAAAAATTTTACAAAAAAATTGATTATAAGATTTTTCTATCATCATTCTCTACCAAATTCTTATATATCAGAACCAGCCAGAAGCACCTCCATTTTACATACCCAAAAGATAGTGAATGATAATGAATAAAATTGTTTTCAACCTACCCTTATTTGTAAAAGAATGAAAGGATGCATACTATATAAAAGCAATATAACATTCAAGCACACGCACAAGTACAAGAACACAAAAGTTTCAAAGAATACATAACCACAAGACTATCCATTGTTTTGGTAAAACAACAAAGATTCAATTCCATTGGCTTGCCAAGCTTAATAAAGTGAAATTCATCTACAAGTTATCCATAATCCCACTTAACCAAAAGGATAGGAAAAACAAAAATTGAAGCACTTAAGCACTGAACATAACTATATGATTCAATCAATAATGCAAGACTACTAAATAAATAAAATAAAACCTTGTTGAGATATATAGTCCCACATTGGTTGTATGTGCAACTAATGTGGCCTTTATAAGGCCTTGGGCACTCCCACCCTTTGAGCTAGCTTTTGGGGTGGTGTATCCCAAGGTTCTTTACATGGTATCAGAGCCTCGCCGCCCCCCACTTTCTCTTGTGGCGTTTCTTAGCACAGGTAGGCTGGGCCTGTTGCATTGTCCACTCTTCAAGCCCAATGGGCTCTTGTGTGAGGGGGCGTGTTGAGATATATAGTCTCACATTGGTTGTGGAGTTTATAAGGCCTTGGGCACTCCCACCCCTTGAGCTAGCTTTTGGGGTGGTGTATCCCAAGGTTCTTTACAAACCTCAACTAATGTTTCATTGCTTCTAGATAAAAGGCAAGCTTTTCTGGGGTATCAAGCACAATGTACTGACCTGGAATCATTTTTGAGGACTTCGCCAGCACCTGCAAGTAGTAAAAATAACACCACCCTTTAAAAAGCTCATAGTTTTACACTGAAGACATTTGAACAATAAGTCACAACAAATGCTGCGGCAGGCTGGATGAAAATTCATGAAAAATTAACGAAAGGAAATGGAAAGAGTCATAGTCTAATGAACAAAGCATGCTGCTTATGACATGAATAAAATACAACAATCATTTCCTAAAGATAAACGATTAAATACTACATATGCATATTTTCATATGGAATCTTCTTTCATTGAATATCTACATCAGTTACGTACGTATATTTATAATGGATGAAACATTTTTTCCCTCATTGCTTAGAAGTACACAAGATCGTAAGTATGAATAACAGAAACTTGTTTTAACTTGTATGCATGATCATCACCATTTCAGGAAAAAACAAAACAAAACAAAATCCAAAAATCCAATACCAGATTTGATAAAATCAAATACACATTCAAAAGGAAGCCAGAAAAAGAAACTATTGAACGAATCATACCTGAGCGGGGTAACTAATATACTTCAATGCTTCAATTCCCATAGCAGGACCAATGGTGTTGGTAATACCAGCACTCCAGTAAGACCACATAGGAGCACCACCAGAATTTCCACCAGACCACAGCTTTATCACTGTACACATAACAATCCCACAAAAGAAAACCAAAAAGAGAAAAGAAAAAAGAAATTATACCGAGTCTTCTTAGTAATTGCACATAGAGAAAAAGGAACACTTGGTATAAAAATCTCACTTATATATGACCAGAACAAACACACCACATTCTGTGCCAAGTTCAGAAACGCAAGATGCTCGAACCTCGCACCGTCTGGACCGAATCGCTTGGTCGACCTGAACCAAATCAAAAATCCAAAACAGAAACATAGCAATGAGTAGCTGCATTTCGAAATTCACAAATCGATTTTGGATTCGCCAGAACTGTTACAGGTCGAAGAAACGTTCTCGGAAGTGGACTCTTACAGCGTTTCCTGAAGAACGCCTTGGTAAATGTAGGCCGACCAGATTCCGGCAACGCAGAAGGCCAGCACCAGGATGCGGCGGAGGCCGGCGCCGTGAGCCTCCATGTGAGCACGGAGATTCGCCGGTTCGGTTTTTTTCTGTTTTTGGGGATCGGTCTTTGCGAACCGGAATGGGAGGAACAAATCGGGGAAGATCGGAGAAGCAAGGTGGGAAAAGGAAATGGAAATGAAGAAAGACGAGTGTAGAGTGAGCGCCCAGTTACGTGGCTTGCCACGTGGAGTGTTTTTATTGGCCTAGTGACACGGCTTCGCGCTCCTCATTGGATGAGCATACGCAATGCTTCTTTTTCAGTTAGTGGTCGCTCTTCATGAATTTGTCACACCTTTCTTTTTACGTTTTAAAATTTTGGAATTATTAAATCAAGGATTGAAAGAAAAAAAAAATAGAGCTGTAATTATTTGAGAAAAACGGGCAAAAGAAAAGTAAAATAAAACTAGGATTTAGTGGTTGTCATTTTAAATGACATAAGTTATGTCATTTTAGGAGAGAGATAGACACAGAAAAATAGAAATTATGGGAAAAAGAAAGTAGATGGTTTTTTTTAATTTAAAATTCAAATTTTCTGTGTTTGTATCTCATTTAAAATGACATAACTTTTTGTCATTTAAAATGACAAATACTTTTCCCATAAAACAATTATTGAATAAGAAAATTTAACTGTCCCCATTATTTTTAAGTTTTCATATAAAAATTATGGGTAATATTTTTCTTATGTTACATAAGAAAAGTATTATCTCCTACACTCACATTTTTCAAATGGGTCCCACAAGAATTTTTCTCTCTCACCTCCAACTCTTTTCTCTCTCATGTTTATTGTTTTAGTAGGAGATAATATTTCTCTTATGCAACATAAGAAAAGTATTACCTAAAAATTATAAAAAATTAATTCTCATAACTTTTTTTTAAAATAAATAAATTATTTACTATGTATTCTTTGACTTTGTTGATAATTTTTCTTTCTACGAAAAAAGAGTAAGTAATATCTTTCAATTCATTAATGTAATAAATTAAGGATTTTATAAGTTATGTTGTAGGAAAAATGATTATGTAATGTTGTAGAGATTCGTTTTGCGTGCCAGTAATTTTTTTTTTTAAACATGTGGGTCCCACAAAATATTGTGAGTGTAGAAAAGTTTGTGCGGTCATGTTAAATGATAGAATGCAAACCCATAAATTATTTAAAAGAAATTAAAACTTGTGAAGTGATAATTATTTTGAAATAGAAGCATAGTTTCATAAACACTAAATATAAGGACTATCTTTAACACACTTAAAAATAGAAAATATTAAGAAAAAGGGGAAAATGTTTTTGCAGTTAATGCAGATAAGTTATCTGCATTTATTCTCAAAACGACGTCGTTTTAATATTGAAATCTTAAAAAATTATAAATATAAAGACTATTATAATCCTGAAATAAATTAAAATTACATAAACACCATGATTTCTGTCCCAAAACGACGTCGTATTGGGTTTAATGCAGATAACTTATCTGTAGTAACTGCAGAAAAAGCGAACCCTAAGTAAAAAACAGAACTTTTTAATTCTTTAACAGGTGTCTTTAGGACATTCGTTCGCAGACCATTCTTTTGTTAATCTATTTACTATTGAAGCGTTTATTCTCACACTTTATGCTTTAATGCTAATTTTTTAAAATATATTTTCCCAAACAGTTGCTTATATTAATAATTTACTGTCACTATTATATTAATTTAAATTTTAAGGTTTAATTATTTTTCGTGGAGTGGGTGCTACTCCAAATATATTTGTCTTTTTTATTCTAAAATAAAATTAGGAAATAAGGCAAAAGCATTTTACTACTAATATTTTGTTAAATATTGTCTTGTTCAAAGTATGTTTGAGAAGAATAATCGTAGTAGAGCAGTCAACCGCATTGGTGCACCTAACGGAAGTAGTCCCGTCAAGAAGCATGACGCTACTCATGTCCACGTCACGCAAATGGACGCAATTTTCGTCTACATCAGATTGTTCTAGACACTCCCGTCAGGCTAGCTGATGGAATCAGTCTCGTCAGGGACATTGACGCGACACGTGGTGTCACATTATCCGCAGGATCACTCCCGTCATCTTTCTTGATGGCATTCATTGCCCATTAACCACCACTCAGCACCAGTCCCGTCAACATACAGGACGATACTAGATGCCACGTCACAAAAAATCGTCAGTGAAAATGTGATAAGCATGGATATGAGTCTCGTAACCAATACATACATAAGTAATCTTGTTACTAACACATACAGGAGTAGTTTTAGGACACCAAATTTGGTATATATAGACCCTTCGCTTTGAATGTGAGTTGCTCAGTTTCTCATAATTTACTTCGTGTTTGATATTGCTCCTATGTATTTGATATTTAGTTCTTCGTGTTTCACTAATATTTTTTATTTTCTATCACTCGCAATTTGTATTTTATCACGTTGTTTATTTCCCTCTTTTGAGTCATAACTACCCTATATTTTTTTGTTATTTGCATAAAAATACTACTGCAATGGATCAATTTCGTTCATTCGTATATTACAATGGTTCTAAAATTAACAGTGCAGGTGGTTTGAGCTTCCAAGGGGAAAAAAGAGCAATGTATATTGTCCGAGGCATATCCGTTGAAAATCTAAATGAGAAGATTCGTCAGAAGTTGAGGTTGCAATAAAATCAGGTAATATCTTAAGTTACAGGTAGAGTCTTGTGTGGAAACCACAAATATGCAGGTCTTAAAATATCTAATGATGAGGACATAGATATTTTCTTAGAAATTTTTCAAAAACCTAGGCTTGTTGAATAACATTGTCAAAAGATTGTTTAGCCGCATTCTCCACCATGGCCTAGGCCTTTTCAAAATCAACCTGTAGAGTTGTAAGCTTGGCCTCCTTGTCCCTAAGACTCTCTAGATAAAGCTCTTTTTCTTTGTTCAAAACCTCCGTAAAAAGTTTGGCCGCTTTCAAATCATCCTCGGCCTTGGACAACTGAAAACTAAGGTCCTAAACTCTGACCTCCAATCGACCTTTGATTTTGAAAGCTTTTCCCTCAACTTGGAGAGCTTATCCACCTTAGCATAAAGTGTTGAACTGAAAGCGTTAGATAAGTAGAGCCTTTGATGGAGATCCTGAAATGATTGAATCAAAGAAGTCATCTTTAACGACTCCTCTTCCAACCGAGCTGACATAGTCCACATATTAGTAGTAAAGCGTGAACTCCCATCAATTGAGGAGAAGGCTTCAAGGCAGAGCGGAGACGATAAAAAAACTCCAGTCTTTCATAATTCCCCAAGATCTAGAAACACGACATCTCCAAAAGAAGCGTTGGGAGATAGAGGGGGAGGTGGAGACAGAGTAACCTGAGAAATGACGACATGGGTAATAACGACCCCAGCAGTTGAATTGCCACCCGCAGAGTCAAGTCATCTTTTCTTTTAAGCCTCGCCAATAGGGCCATCTTCAATTAACTTTCCTTTAGAAGATGCCTTCTTCAAAAAAAAAAATTTATAGTCGGAGCCCGTGATATAGACTGCAAAAATAAGAACAATCGATCTGGAGATAGTCAAAAAGACTAAGAAATAACTCGGGATAACATACCAAATTCTTCAAGAAGGTCATCCCCGAACTTATCCACCATCTGACCTAAGTCAAGAATGACATATTCCTTGACATAAGCCTTTAGGACGGTGAAACCGAATTGCTCTACATCAGAAAGCAAAGACTCACGGGTCGAATAATCTGCTTGATATAATGTTTCCTACTCCAATAAAGTTCAAACTGGGCTGATAAATCCCCTTCTTCAAGGATTTTAACAGCAAACTAAGGATGACAGCCAGAATGGATTGCCACTTTGAAAAAATGATCCTTAAAATTCTTAAAGGAATGGGTAAAAAGATGGAAGATTCCATGATTGGGTGGGCTGCAAAGGGTGACCCAACCGTTTCGTTCCTTGACCTCAATTCCAAACTGAGCTGTATATACATTAAACAAAAAAAAAAGAGGAACTGTGCGTGAAAGGTTGAGATACGAGCACACCTGCTCGAAACCTCGAATGATGGCCTATGATTTCGAATGAAGTTGGGTGGGTGCGACGCGAAGTCAACGAAACACGGCCATTTGAAAGTCGAAAAAGGGGAATCGGATTCCCACCTTTGTAATTAAATCCCGATAGAAAAAGAAAAAGTGGGGCTCATCCTTGCTTGAGCTCGCACACACTGGCACATCACCAGCTGGTAAAAGATCAATAACACCTAATCTTGATCTCTGTCCTCTCCCACCAAGCCTAAATTCGAGGGCTCTGCCATTGATGACCTGGAATAGGAAGTTTGTGGGTCAGCATGAATATAAGATGCACCTAAACTGCTTCTACCAAGGTCGGACATTTAAAGGTCGAGTTTTGAAGAGAGTGAGGTGGGAGAGCTTTTATCAAGCTCAATGTGCGAGACTTGACCTGAAGTCGAACAAGGAGCCAGTGCAGGTGCGGGGACAAGAAACTTTGAAAGGTCCAACTCAGAAGAAGACGAGGTGAAAGAACTATCACTAAGCTCAATGTGCGGAATTCAATCTAAAATTGGTTTGGAACTTGGAGAAGGAACTAGGGGAAAACTTTTGATTCCACGACACCAAGAAGAGAGGAAGAGCTCGTCCTGAAACATATAGTCGGGGGCTGAAACTGGAGATAGTCAACCTCTGCCCAAAACATTACTGAGGCTGGGAGATTGACCTCGTACGATCAGACCTCCCCTGGTCGATGTGATTCGACCCCGTTCTCCCCTCATCGATGTGGTTCTATCCCGTCCTCCCCTCGCCGATGTGGTTCGACCACATTCTCCTCTTGTCGATGTAGTTCGACCTCATCTTCTTTTAGAAGGAACTGATCTTCGCTTGTTGCTTCCACCTCGATGGCTACGGAGAAGAAGTTGCAATTTCTCTTCCTCAGTATACTTCTCACCATAAAGCCAATAACGAATCGCCCTGGATATTTTCTTGATTAAGGCCTTTTTGTCTTGGACTTCCTCATTACCTCCATCATGGCCATGATTTGAGCCAGAACCTTGCTCAAAAACACTTATCTCAGCCCAGAATACTTGCAAGTAAAAAGGAAAAAAAGTTCTAAGGTTTTTGGTAGCCTAAAAAGGGAGGAGGGTAGACTCCGAAAAGAAGG